CTGTTTGTGGGACACTGCTGTGTGCAATTGGCTGCCACATTTTGCACACAAATCAGTCAATTCACTTTACAGTATATAATGTGAAGTGCTTTGAGATATTTCAATGACCTGATATGGTGCTATATCAAATGAAAGGATTATTTTATTATTTGTTTAATGGGCAGTGGACATGTGAATCCCAATGCCACGCTTAAGAGTACATAAGCCAAACAGTCAGAAATTCCCATGTTTGGAATGCAATGCACAGTCTATCCCTGGAGGGTTGCATCCTGCGTACCTATAGTGTTTCTGAAGAGAATAAGGTGCAGGTTGGCAAGACCCAAGGCTTGGGAATCTCAAGAGTGTTCGTTGAGGCACTGTTTGAGTCTGACCAACTAAAACTGCATAGCTTGCCATTGATATCGCTGTATGGCAAGTTTCCCACTGCTTGTCCAGCTAGGATAATCCTATCCGTTAGAAGCTTTGGTTTACAGTTTTAACAGGAGCTGAGTGGAAAGAATCCTTGCTCCCCAGTCTTGCCAATGAGCCAGGCTGGCTGGTCTGTCATCAACAGTACCCTGGCAATACTGCATCCATTTCTGGCTCAGGAACCGGACTATCAAAACTGCAACAGAACCATAGAAATTTACAATATATAAAAGTCATGCAGACCATTATGTCTATTCTGACTCTTTTGAGAGCAATCCTTTCAGTCCCATTTACCTGCTTTTTACCATACCCGAGTGTCTTACACCTTTTTAGATGTTTATCTAGTTCTTTTTTGACTGCTAATATGGATTCTGTCTCAACTACTGCTCCCAGCAGGGCATTCCATATTCTAACCACTGTGAAATAAATTTCCATTTGTTCTTTGGCTAGCTAGCTATCCATTCATGCTAAATCAAGGCCTTAGTCTGCCTGTTCAGGTGGACATTAAAGATTCCATGGCACTAATTCGAAAGAAGAGGAAGTTTTTACTGGTGTCCTGGCCAACAATCCCCCTAATAAATTTAGTCATTCAGGTCATGGCTATTTGTAGGACATTGCTATGTGCAAATTGTCCATTCATACCCACAAGCATACAGTCACTCCCAACTTTACTGTTTGCTGCATCTGCCCACGAAACACAGTCACTGAACTTTACAGCGTATCCCGTGAAGCTCTTTGGGACATCCTCTGAACACTATACCAAATGTAAGGATTCTAATTAATGTTTAATTCAAAGGACCTCTGCTAGCAATGCATTGAAGCCTCATGTAGCATAGTGGTTAGCGGGCTCGCCTCGCAAGCAAGGACCCTGGTTCGATTTCTGAGTGAGGCAAAACCATAGACAAGTTTCCTTACTCCACGCGCCTCTGTTTACCTAGCAGTAAGTAGAAACCCAGTTGTTAGTCAATCAGCAGATCGCTTTCCGGGGCTAAAGTCAATTCCTCAAAAAAGTCACTCAATCCACAACTGTTTGTGGGACACTGCTGCACGCAAGTGGCTGCTGTGATTCGCCCACAAAATACAGTCAATCCGCTTTACAATATATTCTACAAAGCACTTTGAGATGTCTCAATTATGTAATAAGGCACTTTATCAAAGACAAGGAGTATTATTATTTTATTATGAGACTATCAGATCAAATTCCCAACGTGGGGCTTGAATGCACAACCTTGACTCAAGAGACAAGAAGGTACGATTGAGCCGGGCAGTGCATTTATTAGCATCGTAGACATTTAAAATAGTTCAAATTTTTAAACCAAAATAAGTTGAATGAGATTTGATAGATTTGCTTAATAATAATCCTTGCGTTTGATACATTGCCTTATCACATCTTCGAGACTTCTAAAAGCACTTCACAGAATATACTGTAAAGTGAATTGACTGTATATTTTGCAAAATGATTTCTCCCTTTCATGTGATTATATTAACCAAACAGCATGCAGCCCTATACTGCAAAACCTTTTCACCCCTGCTCACTGTACAGGGATGCATGCCAGAAGCAATCATTGACCGACTGACCTGTAATGGAACGAGTCAGATAGCAAACTCATGATAATGAGTGTTAACATAAATACAGTACAAAGCGTGAGCCTTATTAATGTGAGGATATGTTTGAATTAACCATGATCACTAAAGAATAATTACACTTGAAAAATAATCAGAACTTGCTTGATGATTCCCTTTTGGGAATGGAGTGAACTTGGGCGTGTGAGCTGGCATTTGATTGACGGAGACTTGTCCAGCTTCTCAAATTCTCACCAGCATCACAAGTACAGCGCTCGTGTCATGGCTGCAGCTAGTCTCAGTGGTGACCTGGCAACTGGCCAACACAGTCTATCAAACACACAGGCGGGTCCAAACACATTCATAGAGTCGCAGGTAGACAAACACATACATAGATGGGCGCACAGAGGTAGCTATGCCCTGCAGCGCATGCAGGTGGAATGCTAATTCTTTTTCTTTCAAACGAATTGCGTTCAGGATGTCAAATGATCAACTGGTAACTTGTCGGAGAGGTACATGGAGTCTTCTTGGGGCTAAGTTGGCTCTAAGACCACATTCTTGTCAAAAAATGTCAGAATTGAGCCAATCTTCTGTGGTGGTCTCTCATGTCTGATTCCTGAGCCAGGCGGGTCTGCAGTAGTGCACAGGGCACTGCTGATGAAAGCACAGCCAGCCTGGAAAGGCAGACCAGGCACTGGGGGCAAGGATTCTTCGCACGTAATTCCTGTTAAAGCCAAAGCCCTAACAGGTATGGTGTTGCTAACTGGTTAAATGCCAGCAGTAGCCCCCACCAAAAATCAGGTTTGAACCCCAACTGTCCTTCTTACCTCACATCTGATTGCTGAACAGGACTGCTTTCCACCACCCTGGGCACATAATTCGCCTCCAACCGTACCTCATCTCCAATGCAGCTGAAACCCTCAGTCACGCATTTGTCATCTCCCTCCTCAAGTATTCCAATGCCTTCCTTGCCGGTCTCCCCAGTTCCCCAAACTCTGTACAACCATCACAACAGTCCTCGCTGGGATCCATTGGCTCCCTATCACAGAACGGATTGAATTCAAGATCCTCACACTCGTCTTCAAATCCCTTCATGCCCTGGCACCTCCCTACCTTTCTCACCTGCTTTCTCCCCACTCCACTACCCGCTCAGCCAGCTCTGGACTCAACAAAAACTAGGATTTCTATAGTGCCTCAGGCAGGGAGGCGGCCCAGCCTCGTCTCCTCTGCTCCACCATCAGTGACTGCACTTTCAGCCCCCAGGCTCCGTCTCACCATCTTCAGGTCTTCTTTGACCGTGCCTACAGTCACTCCCCCCCGCTAGGAATTGTGTCTCTCCACTGGAAAGCGCTCTGGAGCGCTAATGTGCATGAGGGGTGCGATGTCAACATAAGCCGCTGTTGTTTTCCGAACCCACGTGTCAGACTGGTGGACACGCGTGTGCAAATCCACACAACTTGAAAGACTGCAATACCTGGCAGCCTCTGTGACGGGAGGAGATGTGAGCGGGGGGGCACACCAGGAGGGGGGCACACCAGGAGGGGGGCACACCAGGGAGGGGGCACACCAGGGAGGGGGCACACCAGGGAGGGGGCACACCAGGGAGGGGGCACACCAGGAGGGGGGCACACCAGGGAGGGGGGCACACCAGGAGGGGGGCACACCAGGAGGGGGGCACACCAGGGAGGGGGCACACCAGGAGGGGGGCACACCAGGAGGGGGGCACACCAGGGAGGGGGGCACACCAGGGAGGGGGCACACCAGGGAGGGGGGTACACCAGGGAGGGGGGCACACCAGGGAGGGGGCACACCAGGGATGGGGGCACACCAGGGAGGGGGGCACACCAGGGAGGGGGCACACCAGGGAGGGGGGCACACCAGGGAGGGGGTACACCAGGAGGGGGGCACACCAGGGAGGGACGGTGCGGGGCGGGGACACCAGGAGGGGGCACACCAGGAGGGGGCACACCAGGAGGGGGGCACACCAGGGAGGGGGCACACCAGGGAGGGGGGTACACCAGGAGGGGGCACACCAGGAGGGGGCACACCAGGGAGGGACGGGGGGGGGACACCAGGAGGGGGGCACACCAGGAGGGGGGCACACCAGGGAGGGGGGCACACCAGGAGGGGGCACACCAGGGAGGGGGGCACACCAGGAGGGGGCACACCAGGGAGGGGGCACACCAGGGAGGGGGGACACCAGGGAGGGGGTACACCAGGAGGGGGCACACCAGGAGGGGGGCACACCAGGGAGGGACGGTGCGGGGCGGGGACACCAGGAGGGGGCACACCAGGGAGGGGGGCACACCAGGGAGGGGGCACACCAGGAGGGGGCACACCAGGGAGGGGGCACACCAGGGAGGGGGGCACACCAGGGAGGGGGCACACCAGGAGGGGGGCACACCAGGGAGGGGGGCACACCAGGAGGGGGGCACACCAGGAGGGGGGCACACCAGGGAGGGGGGTACACCAGGAGGGGGGCACACCAGGGAGGGGGCACACCAGGGAGGGGGGTACACCAGGGAGGGGGGTACACCAGGAGGGGGGCACACCAGGAGGGGGCACACCAGGAGGGGGCACACCAGGAGGGGGCACACCAGGGAGGGGGCACACCAGGGAGGGGGGTACACCAGGGAGGGGGTACACCAGGAAGGGGGCACACCAGGGAGGGGGCACACCAGGAGGGGGGCACACCAGGAGGGGGGCACACCAGGGAGGGGGCACACCAGGGAGGGGGGTACACCAGGAGGGGGGCACACCAGGAGTGGGGCACACCAGGGAGGGGGTACACCAGGAAGGGGGCACACCAGGGAGGGGGCACACCAGGAGGGGGGCACACCAGGAGGGGGGCACACCAGGGAGGGGGGCACACCAGGGAGGGGGGTACACCAGGAGGGGGGCACACCAGGAGGGGGGCACACCAGGGAGGGACGGTGCGGGGCGGGGACACCAGGAGGGGGCGGGGTGGGGTGGAGACGGGTGACCAATGGGAAGCGGGCACACGGTGTGGGCGGGGCTGACGGGCGGCCATGGCGGGCGGCACGGAGGCGGAGGGGGATGGCGCGGCGGCTGCCCGGGAGGAGCTGTCCGGGGCGGGAGGGCTGGGGGTGGGCGGCCTGGCCCTGCTGTTGCTGGCGCTGCTCGGGGTTTACCGGCTGTACCGCAGGAGCAGAGCGGGCGGGCACAGGGCGGGAGGGCAGGAGGCGGCGCTGCCGAGGATGAAGCGGCGCGACCTGAGTCTGGACCAACTCAGACAGTATGACGGCGTCAGCAGCGCCCGCCTCCTGCTCGCCGTCAACGGCAAAGTGTTCGACGTGACCAAAGGCAAGAAATTCTATGGACAGGGTCAGTATCACTGTGTGTGTGACAGTCACTGTGTGTGAGACAGTCACTGTGTGTGAGACAGTCACTGTGTGTGTGACAGTCACTGTGTGTGTGTGACAGTCACTGTGTGTGTGACAGTCACTGTGTGTGAGACAGTCACTGTGTGTGTGACAGTCACTGTGTGTGTGACAGTCACTGTGTGTGTGACAGTCACTGTGTGTGAGACAGTCACTGTGTGTGTGACAGTCACTGTGTGTGAGACAGTCACTGTGTGTGTGTGACAGTCACTGTGTGTGTGTGACAGTCACTGTGTGTGTGTGACAGTCACTGTGTGTGACAGTCACTGTGTGTGTGACAGTCACTGTGTGTGTGACAGTCACTGTGTGTGTGACAGTCACTGTGTGAGACAGTCACTGTGTGTGTGACAGTCACTGTGTGTGTGACAGTCACTGTGTGTGTGACAGTCACTGTGTGTGTGACAGTCACTGTGTGTGTGACAGTCACTGTGTGTGTGACAGTCACTTGTGTGGTGTGTTGGTGACAGTCACTGTGTGTGTGTGACAGTCACTGTGTGTGTGTGACAGTCACTGTGTGTGACAGTCACTGTGTGTGTGACAGTCACTGTGTGTGTGACAGTCACTGTGTGTGTGACAGTCACTGTGTGTGTGTGACAGTCACTGTGTGTGTGACAGTCACTGTGTGTGTGACAGTCACTGTGTTGTGTGTGACAGTCACTGTGTGTGTGACAGTCACTGTGTGTGTGACAGTCACTGTGCAGTCATGTGTGTGTGACAGTCACTGTGTGTGTGTGACAGTCACTGTGTGTGTGACAGTCACTGTGTGTGTGACAGTCACTGTGTGTGTGACAGTCACTGTGTGTGTGTGACAGTCACTGTGTGTGTGTGACAGTCACTGTGTGTGTGACAGTCACTGTGTGTGTGACAGTCACTGGTGTGACAGTCACTTGTGTGTGACAGTCACTGTGTGTGTGACAGTCACTGTGTGTGTGTGACAGTCACTGTGTGTGTGACAGTCACTGTGTGTGTGGTGTGAACAGTCACTGTGTGTGTGACAGTCACTGTGTGTGTGACAGTCACTGTGTGTGACAGTCACTGTGTGTGTGACAGTCACTGTGTGTGTGACAGTCACTGTGTGTGTGACAGTCACTGTGTGTGTGTGACAGTCACTGTGTGTGTGACAGTCACTGTGTGTGTGTGACAGTCACTGTGTGGTGGACAGTCACTGTGTGTGTGTGACAGTCACTGTGTGTGTGACAGTCACTGTGTGTGTGACAGTCACTGTGGGTGTGTGACAGTCACTGTGTGTGTGACAGTCACTGTGTGTGTGACAGTCACTGTGTGTGTGACAGTCACTGTGTGTGTAGACAGTCACTGTGTGTGTGACCAAGTCACTGTGTGTGGACAGTCACTGTGTGTGTGACAGTCACTGTGTGTGTGTGACAGTCACTGGTGTGTGTGACAGTCACTGTGTGTGTGACAGTCACTGGGTGTGAGACAGTCACTGTGTGTGATATGTTGTGAAGTCACTTGTGTGTGTGACAGTCACTGTGTGTGTGACAGTCACTGTGTGTGTGACAGTCACTAGGTGTGTGACAGTCACTGGTGGACAGTCACTGTGTGGGTGACAGTCACTGTGTGTGTGACAGTCACTGTGTGTGTGACAGTCACTGTGTGTGTGACAGTCACTGTGTGTGTGACAGTCACTGTGTTTGTTACAGTCACTGTGTGTGTGACAGTCATGTGTGACAGTCACTGTTGTGTGTATCTGTGGTGTGACAGTCACTGTGTGTGTAGGACAGTCACTGTGTGTGTGACAGTCACTGTGTGTGTGACAGTCACTGTGTGTGTGACCACTGTGTGTGTGGTGACAGTCACTGTGTGTGTGACAGTCACTGTGTGTGTGACAGTCACTCTGTGTGTGTGACAGTCACTGTGTGTGTGTGAGACAGTCACTGTGTGTGTGACAGTCACTGTGTGTGTGACAGTCACTATGTGTGTGACAGTCAGTGTGTGTCTGACAGTCACTGTGTGTGTGACAGTCACTGTGTGTGTGACAGTCACTGTGTGTGTGTGACAGTCACTGTGTGTGTGACAGTCACTGTGTGTGTGACAGTCACTGTGTGTGTGACAGTCACTGTGTGTGTGACAGTCACTGTGTGTGTGACAGTCACTGTGTGTGTGACAGTCACTGTGTGTGTGACAGTCACTGTGTGTGTGACAGTCACTGTGTGTGTGTGACAGTCACTGTGTGTGTGACAGTCACTGTGTGTGTGTGACAGTCACTGTGTGTGTGACAGTCACTGTGTGTGTGACAGTCACTGTGTGTGTGACAGTCACTGTGTGTGTGACAGTCACTGTGTGTGTGACAGTCACTGTGTGTGTGACAGTCACTGTGTGTGTGACAGTCACTGTGTGTGTGACAGTCACTGTGTGTGTGACAGTCACTGTGTGTGTGACAGTCACTGTGTGTGTGACAGTCACTGTGTGTGTGACAGTCACTGTGTGTGTGACAGTCACTGTGTGTGTGACAGTCACTGTGTGTGTGACAGTCACTGTGTGTGTGACAGTCACTGTGTGTGTGACAGTCACTGTGTGTGTGACAGTCACTGTGTGTGTGACAGTCACTGTGTGTGTGACAGTCACTGTGTGTGTGACAGTCACTGTGTGTGTGACAGTCACTGTGTGTGTGACAGTCACTGTGTGTGTGACAGTCACTGTGTGTGTGACAGTCACTGTGTGTGTGACAGTCACTGTGTGTGTGACAGTCACTGTGTGTGTGACAGTCACTGTGTGTGTGACAGTCACTGTGTGTGTGACAGTCACTGTGTGTGTGACAGTCACTGTGTGTGTGACAGTCACTGTGTGTGTGACAGTCACTGTGTGTGTGACAGTCACTGTGTGTGTGTGACAGTCACTGTGTGTGTGACAGTCACTGTGTGTGTGACAGTCACTGTGTGTGTGACAGTCACTGTGTGTGTGTGTGTGACAGTCACTGTGTGTGTGACAGTCACTGTGTGTGTGTGATAGTCACTGTGTGTGACAGTCACTGTGTGTGTGACAGTCACTGTGTGTGTGACAGTCACTGTGTGTGTGACAGTCACTGTGTGTGTGTGACAGTCACTGTGTGTGTGACAGTCACTGTGTGTGTGTGACAGTCACTGTGTGTGTGACAGTCACTGTGTGTGTGACAGTCACTGTGTGTGTGACAGTCACTGTGTGTGTGTCAGTCACTGTGTGTGTGACAGTCACTGTGTGTGTGTCAGTCACTGTGTGTGTGACAGTCACTGTGTGTGTGACAGTCACTGTGTGTGTGTGTGACAGTCACTGTGTGTGTGACAGTCACTGTGTGTGTGTGTGTGACAGTCACTGTGTGTGTGTGACAGTCACTGTGTGTGTGACAGTCACTGTGTGTGTGACAGTCACTGTGTGTGTGTGACAGTCACTGTGTGTGTGACAGTCACTGTGTGTGTGACAGTCACTGTGTGTGTGACAGTCACTGTGTGTGTGACAGTCACTGTGTGTGTGACAGTCACTGTGTGTGTGACAGTCACTGTGTGTGTGACAGTCACTGGTGTGTGTGACAGTCACTGTGTGTGTGACAGTCACTGTGTGTGTGACAGTCACTGTGTGTGTGACAGTCACTGTGTGTGTGACAGTCACTGTGTGTGTGACAGTCACTGTGTGTGTGACAGTCACTGTGTGTGTGACAGTCACTGTGTGTGTGACAGTCACTGTGTGTGTGACAGTCACTGTGTGTGTGACAGTCACTGTGTGTGTGACAGTCACTGTGTGTGTGACAGTCACTGTGTGTGTGACAGTCACTGTGTGTGTGACAGTCACTGTGTGTGTGACAGTCACTGTGTGTGTGACAGTCACTGTGTGTGTGACAGTCACTGTGTGTGTGACAGTCACTGTGTGTGTGACAGTCACTGTGTGTGTGACAGTCACTGTGTGTGTGACAGTCACTGTGTGTGTGACAGTCACTGTGTGTGTGACAGTCACTGTGTGTGTGACAGTCACTGTGTGTGTGTGTGTGCAGTCACTGTGTGTGTGACAGTCACTGTGTGTGTGTGACAGTCACTGTGTGTGTGACAGTCACTGTGTGTGTGACAGTCACTGTGTGTGTGTGTGTGACAGTCACTGTGTGTGTGACAGTCACTGTGTGTGTGACAGTCACTGTGTGTGTGACAGTCACTGTGTGTGTGACAGTCACTGTGTGTGTGACAGTCACTGTGTGTGTGTGACAGTCACTGTGTGTGTGTGTGTGTGTGACAGTCACTGTGTGTGTGACAGTCACTGTGTGTGTGACAGTCACTGTGTGTGTGACAGTCACTGTGTGTGTGACAGTCACTGTGTGTGTGACAGTCACTGTGTGTGTGACAGTCACTGTGTGTGTGACAGTCACTGTGTGTGTGACAGTCACTGTGTGTGTGACAGTCACTGTGTGTGTGACAGTCACTGTGTGTGAGACAGTCACTCTGTGTGTGAGACACTCTGTGTGTGTGACAGTCACTGTGTGTGTGACAGTCACTGTGTGTGTGACAGTCACTGTGTGTGTGACAGTCACTGTGTGTGTGTGACAGTCACTGTGTGTGTGACAGTCACTGTGTGTGTGACAGTCACTGTGTGTGTGACAGTCACTGTGTGTGTGTGACAGTCACTGTGTGTGTGACAGTCACTGTGTGTGTGACAGTCACTGTGTGTGTGACAGTCACTGTGTGTGTGTGACAGTCACTGTGTGTGTGACAGTCACTGTGTGTGTGACAGTCACTGTGTGTGTGACAGTCACTGTGTGTGTGACAGTCACTGTGTGTGTGACAGTAACTGTGTGTGTGACAGTCACTATGTGTGTGTGACAGTCACTGTGTGTGTGTGTGTGTGACAGTCACTGTGTGTGTGACAGTCACTGTGTGTGTGACAGTCACTGTGTGTGTGACAGTCACTGTGTGTGACAGTCACTGTGTGTGTGACAGTCACTGTGTGTGTGACAGTCACTGTGTG